CTCCAAGCCAAAGGCCAGGCGGAACAACTCTGTCTTACAGGCCATGTGGAAAGAAATTAGATCCTGCAGGGCCCTGGTCTCATGAGGCAGAACGTTCCACCAGGCTGGAGCCAGTGTTGAAAAGGCCCTGGCTCTGGTTGAAGCCAATCTAACTTCCTTAGGGCCCAGGACATCTAGGGTGTTGTTATTTATGGACATTAAGGTCCTCTGTGGGGCCTATTGGGGGAGGCGGTCCCATAGGTATGAGGGTACTAGGCCGTGAAGGGCTTTAAATGTCAAAACCAGCACCTTAAATCTGACCCTGTACTTCACCAGGAGCAAGCGCAGCTGGAAAAGCACTGGGTGAATATGCTCCCATGACAGAGACCCTGTGAGGAGCCTCGCTGCAGCATTCTGTACCCGCTGGAGTTTCTGGGACAGTACAAGTCATACCTCAGGTTACAGACGTTTCAGGTTGCGTTTTTTTTGAGTTGCACATCGCCCCAAACCAGGAAGTACTAGAACGGGATACTTGTGCATGTGCAGAAGCACTGAATTGCAACCTGCACATGTGCAGATGCGGCGCTGTGGGTTGTGAATGCTGTGGGTTGCGAATGTGCCTCCTGCACGGATCACATTCACAACCCAAGTGTCCCACTGTACCTCATTCACCCTAATGGTGCGGTTCCACTGTGCATAACCCATTCTCTCCCATCTCATCTCCCCAGCTGATTTTCACCCAGAATGTGTTTATTTTTTATTTCTTGAATTTATATACCGCCCTATACCCGGAGGTCTCAGGGCGGTTCACCAAAATAAGATTAAGATCACAATATAGAAAATCAAAATAAAATCAATAACCCAATAACCCTCCCCCCCAAAGAGCCACATTTTAAAAGGGTATAGGATGTCCATCAGTTCAACCAAAGGCCTGGTTAAAAAGGAAGGTTTTTGCCTGTCGCCTAAAGGTGTATAATGAAGGCGCCAGGCAAACTTCCCTGGGAAGAGCATTCCACAGATGGGGAGCCACTGCAGAGAAGGCCCCGTTCTCGTGTTCCCACCCTCCGGACCTTTTGTGGAGGAGGCACACGAAGGAGGGCCTCAGAAGATAAACTCAAGGTCCGGGTAGGATCATATGGAAAGAGGAGGTCCTTGAGGTATTGGGGTCCTGAGACGTTTAAGGCTTTATAAGTAAAAACCAGCACTTTGAATTGGGCCCAGAAACTAATTGGTAGCCAGTGCAGTAGGACCAGGATCTGTGCAATATGCTCAAACAGCCGTGCTCCGGTGAGCAACCTGGCTGCTGAATTCCGCACCCATGTTCCATTGCAAACCTCAGTCTGAAATCCTGACTTTGGGATCATAGAATCATAGAATAGAATCATAGAATCATAGAGTTGGAATAGACCACAAGGACCATCGAGTCCAACCCCCTGCCAAGCAGGAAACACCATCAGAGCACTCCTGACATATGGTTGTCAAGCCTCTGCTTAAAGACCTCCAAAGAAGGAGACTCCACCCACGCTCCTTGGCAGCAAATTCCACTGTGAAACAGCTCTTACTGTCAGGAAGTTCTTCCTAATGTTTAGGTGGAATCTTCTTTCTTGTAGTTTGGATCCATTGCTCCGTGTCCGCTTCTCTGGAGCAGCAGAAAACAACCTTTCTCCCTCCTCTATATGACATCCTTTTATATATTTGAACATGGCTATCATATCACCCCTTAACCTCCTCTTCTCCAGGCTAAACATGCCCAGCTCCCTTAGCCGTTCCTCATAAGGCATCGTTTCCAGGCCTTTGACCATTTTGGTTGCCCTCCTCTGGACACGTTCCAGTTTGTCAGTGTCCTTCTTGAACTGTGGAGCCCAGAACTGGACACAGTACTCCAGGTGAGGTCTGACCAGAGCAGAATACAGTGGCACTATTACTTCCCTTGATCTAGATGCTATACTCCTATTGATGCAGCCCAGAATTGCATTGGCTTTTTTTAGCTGCCGCGTCACACTGGATGAGCTTAGTTGCAGAGGAAAAATGAGTGGGGTGAGGAAGGGTTAAGCATTCCCCTGGCCACTTGCCCTTCCTCCTCATTCCAGCTTTCTGGGGAAGTGGTGTGTCCTGAGTCTCAAGGCATGAGGTAGAGACGGATTCTTCTGTTCTGCCTGAGAAGGTCTTTGACTCTCAGGGAAGAATTTGCAAAGGCAATAGCAGATAACACATGAATCTTAATGTAGTTAGATTTGAAAATATGATGAGGCGCCAACATTTCATTCCTTTGCCGAGTGCCAAGTGTACAGGTCCTGATGATGGATGTGCATATTTATCTGCTTGGTGAGTTCGAGGCCAGGTTTGTCAAATTTCCTTACATTTCTAGTTAAGCCATGTTCTGGGTTATTTGGAGCTCTGTTATCATTGCTCCCAAAGCTGTTGGGCAGTGTGTCCTTTACACACACACACACACACACACACACACACACACACTACATTCAAGTTGGAATTTTATCTGCTTCATACATCAAATGTGACAAGAACAAATTCAAAATCGGAGCTCACACCTTGAAGCTGAACTTTGTCAATGATAATGTATGAAGTTCAGAGCTGGCTTTTTTCATACTCTGCAATAACAACAACATGGATAAAACACTGCAAAAATAAATAAATGTGTGAGTGAAATCCGTAGAGAGTTGACACCAGCACTTATGAGGAGCGATGTACACACAGAATGGAATACTGAAGTTTTATTTCCAGCACAATGTGGGCATGTATCTGTGCATGGATAACTCAGAATACAGTGGTAGCTTGGTTCTCAAACTTAATCCGTTTCGGAAGTCCGTTCCAAAACCAAAACGTTCCAAAACCAAGGCGCGCTTTCCCATAGAAAGTAATGCAAAACAGATCAATATGTTCCAGACTTTTAAAAACAACCCATAAAACAGCAATTTAACATGAATTTTACTATCTAACATGACCATTGATCCATAAAATAAAAGCAATAATCAATGTAAGGTAAAGGTAAAGGGACCCCTGATCATTAGGTCCAGTCGTGACTGACTCTGGAGTTGCGGCGCTCATCTCGCTTTATTGGCCAAGGGAGCCGGCATACAGTTTCTGGGTCATGTGGCCAGCATGACTAGGCTGCTTCTGGCAAACCAGAGCAGCGCACGGAAACGCCGTTTACCTTCCCACTGGAGTGGTACCTATTTATCTACTTGCACTTTGACGTGCTTTCAAACTGCTAGGTTGGCAGGAGCAGGGACCGAGCAACGGGAGCTTACCCCGTCGCGGGAATTCGAACCGCCGACCTTCTGATCAGCAAGTCCTAGGCTCTGTGGTTTAACCCACAGTGCCACCCGCGTCACTTACTATAAAATAAATAAGACAGTATTGTAGATGATAGGAATTAAAATTTATTTATTTTTATTACATGCTACCGGTAGCTCTGTGTGGGGATTGGGGTGTCTCCTAACTCTTAGCATCCCTAACAAATTACAGCTCCCAGAATTCTTTAGGGGAAACCAGGACTGCTTAAAGTGGTATCATAGTGCTTTAAATTTCAGGTGTGAATGTGGCCTTAAGAAGCTGCTTCCAGAAACCAAATAGCAGGGGCCACCACCAGTGGCCGAGCATATGCCAGCACTGCCCAGGGTGGGCGCGCTCCCAAGGGGGGCAGACGGTGCCCTCCCAGGTGCGGGATAGCTGCTAGGGTACATGGAGCGGCATGTGCATCCTGCAGCCAGGGGTGGAGCCAGCCGCCAATGGCGGACATTTGGCAGGCCGCCTGCCCGCGACTCCCAAGCCTCCCCCAACCTGTTAAGATGAAGGGGGAGGGGAAAATGCCGCCGGCAAAGCGGCACAGCTCCCCCCTTCCCTCAATGGCTCATGGTAGGCTTGGGAGACATCACCTTGCCAACAAAGGTCCACATAGTTAAAGCTATGGTTTTCCCAGTAGTGATGTATGGAAGTGAGAATCTGGACCATAAAGAAGGCTGATCGCCAAAGAATTGATGCTTTTGAATTATGGTGCTGGAGGAGACTCTTGAGAGTCCCATGGACTGCAAGAAGATCAAACACATCCATTCTGAAGGAAATCAGTGCTGAGTGCCCACTGGAAGGACAGATCCTGAAGCTGAGGCTCCAGTACTTTGGCCACCTACTTTGGCCACCAGGCATGTTTAGCCTGGAGAAGAGGAGGTTAAGGGGTGATATGATAGCCATGTTCAAATATATAAAAGGTTGTTTTCTGCTGCTCCAGAGAAGCGGACACGGAGCAATGGATCCAAACTACAAGAAAGAAGATTCCACCTAAACATTAGGAAGAACTTCCTGACAGTAAGAGCTGTTCGACAGTGGAATTTGCTGCCAAGGAGTGTGGTGGAGTCTCCTTCTTTGGAGGTCTTTAATAAGCAGAGGCTTGACAACCATATGTCAGGAGTGCTCTGATGGTGTTTCCTGCTTGGCAGGGGGTTGGACTCGATGGCCCTTGTGGTCTCTTCCAACTCTATGATTCTATGATTCTATGATTCTATGACCTCATGAGAAGAGAAGACTCCCTGGAAAAGACCCTGATGTTGGGAAAGATGGAGGGCACAAGGAGAAGGGGACGAGATGGTGGGACAGTGTTCTCAAAGCTACCAGCATGAGTTTGACCAAACTGCAGGAGGCAGTGGAAGACAGGAGTGCCTGGCGTGCTCTGGTCCATGGGGTCACAAAGAGTCGGACACGACTAAAACGACTAAACAACAACAAGGCTTGGGAGCTGCTGGTGGGCGGTGTGCCAAATGTCACCCCCCTCACCAAAGACACCCAGAGCAGTCCATCCCCCCTTCCTCCGCCCCTGGCTACCACCAGGAAAGTTTGTTAAGCAGTGCTCATTGGCCAAGAAGATAGTGCAATCTCCCAAGCACACACAACAACAAAAACCTGCTCAACAGATATTTTTTAAGGTATTCTGGAAGATCCATTGCACATTTATTCCTGAATGTTCTGTGTTCTCCTACAACTTTGCATTATCTGTTTTTTCTCCTCAGGGCCATTTAATTAACACCTTCCTAGGACAGAAGAGCTGACTAGTCCCGAAGCCTTTGGCCAGAAGAGACCGAGCGATTTACAAGGTTCAGGCTTTTAGTGAGTACCCAACTTGTTAAAACGCACAACTTCCCTCCCTGCGAGAGTGTTTCGTTTTCTGCTGAATCAGGCACCTGGATTTCCACACACACCTACGTTCGACAAAAGCTGTTATTATGCAGTAGTTGACGCTCAGCAAAGAGAGTGAAATTTTCCACTGGCGCTAAGCTGTGATTGAATTTGTTCAGATTAGGCCTGGAGCTGAGCAAACTAGAAATGCATCATTTGAGGGATGCTCTTTCATTTTTATGGAAATGTTCCGCCGTCTTCAGATCTAATTGAAGGTCCTGACATTCCAATTTCCCTATAAGAATGTATTCAAACACCAGCTCAATTCTTATTCTTTATTTTCTTTGCAGAATTGAAACGGCAGTGCGTCAGATGCACGCTCGTTTCAAAGCCTGCAATCTCGGTGATCGTGTTTTCCTTTAAATGGGTGCTCGATAACTCCCATTCAAGCCACGTCCTACAGCCTGATCCGTGATCCACACAAACCCAGGATAGCTCAGCTATAGGATTAAGGGCACCCCTCCCACTTCGAACAAACAAACAAACAAACAAACGAGGGCTATGATAGGATCCTCGCAAGCATGGATTAAAAGGCACATAAGAATTTGTGCGTTTGTCATACACAGACAAAAGAAAACTTGACATGTGATAAGAGAGAATGGAGTAGTGATTACTTCCCCACCCCTTCTTTTTATACAATACAAAATACTGATAGGTGGTTTTACTTAAAAAAAAAAAAGCATGTGATAAGAACATCCAACTCCTAAAAATAATACTTAGCATTTGTATTCAAAGTGTTTGTAGCATTTGTATTCAAAGTGTTTCACTTGCATTATCTAATTGTAATCCTCACCAACAGTCCCAAAGACAAAGCTCTTCTTTCTTTCTTTCTTTCTTTCTTTCTTTCTTTCTTTCTTTCTTTCTTTCTTTCTTTCTTTCTCTCTCTCTCTCTCTCTCTCTCTTTCTTTCTTTCTTTCTTTCTTTCTTTCTTTCTTTCTTTCTTTGTCTGCCGCCTTTCCACAGTTAAAACAATGCTCAAGGAGGCTTACAATATGAAAAGATTTACATGATTACACTGGACGCTTGGGTTGCGAACGTGATCCATGTGGGAGGCACATTTGCAACCCACAGCATTCGCAACCTCAGCACAGCATCTGCGCACACGCGGGTCACAATTCGGTGCTTCTGTGCATGTGCAAAGCATGATTTAGCACTTGTGCACATGCTCAAGCACCAAAACCCAGAAGTAACCCATTCCGGTACTTCCAGGATCGGCAGGGTGCGCGACCCGAAAACGCGCAACCTGAAGTGTCTGTAACCCGAGGTATGACTGTGGAAACATAGCAAAGTTGTCAAAAATAAATAAAACACATTAAAAACTACATAACCAAATGGAAGAATTCCCACATTAAAATAAAGATACAAAAAGTTAATCTCAGTAGAGTGGCACCTCGGGCTCCATACGCTTCAGGTTACATATGCTTCAGGTTACAGACTCCACTAACCAAGAAATATTGCCTCAGGTTAAGAACTTTGCTTCAGGATGAGAACAGAAATTGTGCTCCGGTGGCACGGCAGCAGCTGGAGGCCCCATTAGCTAAAGTGGTGCTTCAGATTAAGAACAGTTTCAGGTTAAGAACGGACCTCCAGAACAAATTAAGCACTTAACCCAAGGTACCACTGTAATATCAGTAATATCAGTTGATATCAGTAACAATAGCAAAAACTCCGAACAAAACTTCCCCCCGAATACCCCAGTCCTTGCTGGGCAGCAACCGCAGCAGCCGCAGTCCTTATGAGGCCTGTCAGGCCCCGCCCTGGGCCAGGTGGAGAGTGGCAGGACCGGGGCCTCAGGCGCCCAGCAGGGGAGTACTCCTGGGTATTATCGTCCTTCCAGTAGATTGCCTGCCTGTGACCACAAGGGACTTCCTGACTCAGAGCTCTACCTACGGACAGGATCAGCTCTGCACTGACCAGAAGGTGAGTGAGGAGGCCAAGTTCCACAGGATGCTCATTGTTGCTGGATCCCAGGGATGGTAGGTTATGGGTCTGGAAAAGTACCCCCAAAGTAGCCCTCCTCCCCATAAGACTGAACTCCCAGAGTGCTTAGACTTTGGGCAGCATAAAGCTGGCAAAGCAAAGCCAGTGTGGTGTAGTGGTTAAGAGCGGTAGACTCGTAATCTGGTGAACTGGGTTTGCGTCTCCACTTCTCCACATGCAGCTGCTGGGTGACCTTGGGCCAGTCACACTTCTCTGAAGTCTCTCAGCCTCACTCACCTCACAGAGTGTTTGTTGTGGGGGAGGAAGGGAAAGGAGAATTTTAGCCGCTTTGAGACTCCTTAGGGTAGTGATAAAGTGGGATATCAAATCCTAACTCCTCCTCCTCGTCCTCCTCTTCCTCCTCCTCCTCGTCCTCCTCTTCTTCTTCTTCTTCTCGCCTTCCCATCAAGTGGTGTAGAGTGGGGAGAGAGAAAGAAACCAGTACTGCGCAGCCATCAGCAAGGGATGATAACAGGTGGTCAGGACAAGCTACCTGTCAATCATGTGACATCATAATGACACCATATGTTTGACATGTGGGTGGTCCCATTAACCCATCAGAGTTAGTCCACAGGGTGGGGACAAATTAGGTCCCCACCCCCTGGTTCAGCGTGTAGCTTTTGGGTCCATGATGCACTGCAAAGATGGAAAGTTGATGCCCAGGGAAGAGTGGTTCTCCTTCATGACAGCAGACTTTTTCCTTGTACCCCAACGAGAATATACCCAAACCTTAGCAATGTCACGTGCCACGTGTTCCCTCCAAGAGAGGCTTGAGAGTGACAACAAGGGAGAGAGTCTTTCATTTTTCCGAGCAACAGGAATTATGGGAGTGGCCACCGGGACCACATAACAACGGTCCTGAGAGATCTGCATTGGCTCCCAGCACAATTCAAAGTGTTGGTGCTGACCTTTAGCGCCCTAAACGGCCTCAGTCCAGTATACCTGAAGGAGCGTCTCCACCCCCATCGTTCAGCCTGAGGTCCAGCTCCGAGGGCCTTTTGGTGGTTCCCTCACTGCAAGAAGTGAGGTTGCAGGGAACCAGGCAGAGGGCCTTCTCAGTGGTGGCGCCCTCCCTGTGGAACACCCTCCCATCAGATGTCAAGGAAATAAGCAGGTATCTTATCTTTAAAAGACATCTGAAGGCAGCCCTGTTTAGGAAAGTTTTTAATATTTAATGCTGTATTGTTTTTAACACTCAATTGGGAGCTGCCCAGAGTGGCTGGGGAAACTCAGCCAGATGGGCGGAGTATAAATAATATATTATTAGTAGTAGTATTATTATTCATGGTAGACCACGAGCTTTGCATGCAGATGGTCCCAAGGCCAGCCTCAATTAGCAGCATTGATTAGATGTATCTCAGGGAGCAGAGCAGCGAAATGATCTCCGATGCTGCTGTAAGTCAAAGCAGACATACACGAACCCATGGTATGACTCTGCCTAAGGCAACTTCCTAAGTCCTAAGTTTCCATCTCTCTTTTGGATGTAGTAAACAGTCAAGTGTGGGAGAGCTCTTTTGTTTTGTTATAAAGTAAAGGTAAAGGGACCCCTGACCATTAGGTCCAGTCGTGGCCGACTCTGGGGTTGCAGTGCTCATCTCGCTTTATTGGCCAAGGGAGCTGGCATACAGCTTCCGGGTCATTGGCGAGCATGACTAAGCCGCTTCTGGCGAACCAGAGCAGCGCACGGAAACTCCGTTTACCTTCCCGCCAGAGCGGTACCTATTTATCTACTTGCACTTTGATGTGCTTTTGAACTCCTAGGTTGGCAGAAGCAGGGACCGAGCAACAGGAGCTCACCCCGTCGCAGGTATTCGAACCGCCAACCTTCTGATCGGCAAGTCCTAGGCTCTGTGGTTTAACCCACAGCGCCACCCGTGTCCCTAACCCGAGGTACCACTGTATAATAAAGCACAACTCGTAAACCGAGAAACCCATTGTTTGTTTGTAGATGAATCAGTGGTGTTTAAAAGGGCGGCATCAGAATGTGCTTCCAGCCAGGCGCCAGGCAGAAATGTTCCTCTTCAATTAGGCCTTTGGGTGATTAATATCCTATATCCTTGTAAATGTGTTTGTGAGAGGGGAGGGGTGGCTCTTTTGTATTGTATTTGTACCTTGTATTTTTATGCTGTGAACCATCCTGAGATTTTCAGATGAAGGGTGGTATACAAATAAAATAAAATAAAATAGTATAAAATAGTCATAAATTGCTAATTAGCCGTTTGAGGGGCTGAATGTGGCCCCAGATCAATTCCAGCTGGTCTTTAGGTACCCTACTAAGACACGTCCATAGGTTCAATGAGTCCCTAGATGGAACAAAACAAAAAAAAATCCTTCCAGTAGCACCTTAAAGACCAACTAAGTTAGTTCTTGGTATGAGCTTTCGTGTGCATGCACACTTCTTCAGATACACTGAAACAGCAGTTGCCAGATCCTTCTATATAGTGAGAAGGTGGGGAGGGGTATTACTCAGAAGGGTGGTGGGAATGGGTGATTGGCAGATAGCTGTGATGAGCCTGTTGACGACTCTTAACGACTGCAATAGGTCTTACAGGAAAAAGCAAGGGGTGAGAAGGTGAAAAATGGCTTTGTCATGTATAATGAGATAAGAATCCAATGTCTTTGTTCAGACCAGGTCTCTCCATGGTTTTAAGTTTGGTAATGAGTTGCAATTCAGCAGCTTCTCTTTCCAGTCTATTTCTGAAATTCATTTGTAGTAAAACAGCTACTTTGAGATCTTGTATAGAATGTCCTGGGAGATTGAAGTGTTCTCCTACTGGTTTCTCTGTCTTGTGATTCTTGATGTCAGATTTATGTCCGTTTATTCTTTGGCGTAAGGTTTGGCCTGTTTGTCCAATATAGAGAGCTGAAGGACACTGTTGGCATTTGATGGCATACACAATGTTAGACAATGAGCAATTAAACAGTCCCGAGATGGTATGTGTGATGTTGTTGGGGCCAGTAATGGTGTTGTCCGGGTGTATGTGGCAGCAAAGTTGGCATCTGGGTTTATTGCAGGCTCTGGTGCCAGTGTCCGTGTTAAGTCTGGTTGTAGTATTATTGTGGGTTAGGAGTTGTTTAACTTCCCTGGATGGAAGTTGCCCATAGTTTTACACACAAGGAAAAGCAGGAGGGAATGTTAAAACATTTTTAGAGTGTCTTTATAACAAAACAATGGATGCAGGTGGTGCTGTGGGTTAAACCACAGAGCCTAGGACTTTATAACAGAGCCTAGGACCCGGAAGCTGTCTGTGGACAAACGCCGGCTCCCTGGGCCAATAAAGCGAGATGAGCGCCGCAACCCCAGAGTCGGTCATGACTGGACCTAATGGTCAGGGGTCCCTTTACCTTTACCTCGGGTTAAGTACTTAATTTGTTCTGGAGGTCGGTTCTTAACCTAAAACTGTTCTTAACATGAAGCACCACTTTAGCTAATGGGGCCTCCCGCTGCTGCCGTGCCGCCGGAGCACGATTTCTGTTCTCATCCTGAAGAAAAGTTCTTAACCCAAGGTACTATTTCAGGGTTAGCAGAGTCTGTAATCTGAAGCGTATGTAACTTGAAGCGTATGTAATCCAAGGTACCACTGTATATCCGTGCTATTAATTGTTTTGCTACTTTTCTTTATCGGGGGTGAAAAAATGTGCATGCTTCTTTTGTAGTTTGTGTTGTCATCTGGGATCCTGCATATAATTCTTTTAATTTGTGTGAGCTGCCTGGAAAACATATATACATATATCTATTGGTCAGCCGTACCAGCCTAGTTAATAAATGCACAAATAAACCATGTGAAAAGTCTGCAGCTGGGTAATTTTTGCATCATCTTTCTAAAGTAAACCTTAGCACCATATTTCTGCACCAGAAATTAATTTAGACATGTGCCACTATCTATTTATTTATTTTTGAAGCCTGGTCCATTTTTGTTTTGGCTTGGCGATTGTGTGCAAGGCAGGAGTTGCCTCTGCTCCTCCCAGATAGGGTCAAAGGCATTATTCTTGCAGGACGCCTGCAGAAACCAGCCTTTTCCCATGGCATTCCATCAGATCTGCAAGTAAGGGCAGCTTCTGCGATGACTTCACTTCTCTGCATTGCAACACTGCACTGAACTGTGGCCAACTGCTGGAGTTTGCTCATTTGTGTGTTTCCACTGGAGACCTGCTGATTCAATCATTTTAAAGCTGCCCATTTCTTCCACGTCAGAGATTTTATAGCTCTAAGGATTAGCAGCTTTTATCCCAACAAACCCCGAAGCTCTATATATTCTGATTTTTATGGTAAGCTTCACTAATAAACTGCTTAAAACATATGCTAATTGTGTTTACTGTATCCTTTAATTATCATATGTATCATTAAGGATGTGCCATCCCATTTTGAATCTTAATCCACATTACCCTTTGCTCTTTAGAGTTCCCCTCCTTAACACATTCTGGATCAAAACCCAGAAGGGAAGTGTCACCTTAAAATCCAGTCTTTTAACAACACACACACACACACACACACACACACACACGGTGTATATTCAGTTCTTGCACATCTGCCACTCATTCTCAGCGGCACTTTTGCAGGATAACTTCCTTATGGATTGCACCCAAAGGTTATAATATGCAATTCTCTTCTTTTGGAACAGTTGTGGAGCAACCCCATTGACTTCTATGAGACTACTTGGAAGTAAGTGCATTGCAACGATAATGCTTCATTTGGGTTTTCTGTGTTGTGTGCATATGGGTGATAAAAACATGTATAAGTTCTTATAATTCTTGTTATTTGTATTTAAGAAAGAGACTGGAGCAGATTATTCATTAACGGTCATGAAAATGCACAGCACAGCCAAAGATAAGCACTTTTAAATCTCATTGATTTGAAGAGGGGAGATTTAAGTGCATGTCTGACTTTCCCACTGAAATCAATGGGGCTTAAAAGCACTTATTTTGTCTGGATTGTGTTGAATACTTACTATTCAAGACAGGGGAGAATTCTTCCATATGCCTCGTTCCAAATAGAAGCTTAGAAGCGATATTTTGCTGTAGCTGTTGCACATTTTGGGCTTTATTCTGATGCCACCTGAGGAGTCCCTTATAGCCTTATGACTCTTGGAAGACTGGGGTTTGGTCAGGAAAGGGTTAATGGGACAAGCAGGACTGCTGGACATAATTCCTCTCTGAAAATGGTTTTGTTAAAAAAAAATATGCCTTTCACATAGGGATAGACAGACCTGTCAATTTTCACTTCTCCCAGTTTCTCATTTTTCCAAACCTAAACTCAGTTCTCCACATTCCTACAGCAATTTGCTTTTTTAAAAAAATCATTATTAAAATTATTGAGCATGTTAGTGCACATCTGTCCCAACAAACACATTTTGATCAGTTTTGACAAATACACACATTTACAAGCAATTTCCTCCAATACAAAGCATTCTATACGTTAGTGTCACTAATATATGCAATTACATACATACTTCTCCCTAATATATGTCTCTTTGCACTCTTCACTTAGCTGGAGAACTGCATTGCAAAATTCAGAAAAGTGCAAATTTCAAAGGATGGTAGTGTTTTGATTCGTATATTGTTTTGGAAAGCTGCTCAGAGATCCAGGGCAATGAACAAAATCCTACACCCTTTGGCTTGTTGTTGATATACATGAGCCTGGAAAACCATATCTCTTTCATTGCCAAATCCAGTTTAGAAACAGAACTGAAATGGATTTGGATAATCTGTATCCTTGAAGAGTGTCTGGAGTTGTATAGTCGCCACCTGCCCAAGTCCCTTGACCAGGAAAGGTTTGTTTGTAATATCAGATCCAGACTGTCTCTTGCAACATGGATTAGGCCAGGCTTCCTTAACCTTGGCCCTCCAGATGTTTTTGGCCTACAACTCCCATGATCCCTAGCTAGCAGGACCAGTGGCCAGGGATGCTGGGAATTGTAGTCTCAAAACATCTGGAGGGCCAAGGTTGAGGAAGCCTGGGTTAGGCCATGGGTATGTGGGGAAAGCCCCATGGTTCATAGCACTCATGAAATCCTGAGCTGCCCTTGAGAAAGCAGTGTCAGAAAAATAAAAAATAAAAATGAGTGTAGAAGGAGTCAAGCCTTTCCATCTGAATTAGAAGTGGGATGCCAAAGCAGTTCCGGGAACAATTTCCAATCAAAGCATAGCTAAAGTGAAGTTAAATGTACAAGCTAATAATCAAAACGATGCAATGAATACAAAGTGAGCCAGGAGCCAGCTTTCATTCAATCCAAGGGTGTGTGTAGAATGAGCAATTGTAAAAAGACTTTCTGAATAAGATCAGCCAGTTGAGCATGGGACTCTTGATTTCAGGGTCATGGGTTCAAGTCCTGCCCTGGGCAAAAAAGGCTCCTGCATTGCAGGGGGTTAGACTACTAGATGACCCTTGTGGTCCCTTCTACGATTTTGTGATTCTGCAGGATGTCATCAAAAGGGAAAGGGGTCATGCAGGACTCTTACAAGAATGCAAGAAGAGACCTGCTGGTTCAGACCACAAGCTCACATGGAACCCTTTTCCTGGAATTGCCAATCTGATGCCTATGTGAAGTCTGAAAACAGGGCATGAGGACAACAGCCCTCTCCCACTGATCTGCCCCAACAACTAGGAATTGGAGGTGCCTCTTGTGGGATGTAAACACAGGAGCAGTCAATGACAACATTCCTAGAGTGTACATGTTAGAACATGGGGAGGGATGTCTGTCCAGCAAGCAGGTAAACTTCCTGGGGACGGACTTCCTCCGCATGTGACCAGAGGTGGGTGTGGCCTCACCTGTGCAGGTAATGACAAAAGCACAGGGCAGGCAGCCACACTCTCTCTCTGCCATTTTCCTTCGATGAGGAAACATCTAAGGATGCTCTCTTGGCTCCCAGCCAAGTGAGGAGATAAGGACTATTTTGCTACAAGATAGATTCTGAATGTATGTAACCTTTTTAAGCCTGTCTGCCTTCTGGGATCATATTGTGAACAGAACGTGAGTAAACTCTTTTATACTTTTATGAAGACTGTGTCGTGTCTTGTATTTTAAGAGGGAACAAAAGGGCAAATTACCAGAGTAATTATTATAGAGGTTCTAGCGAACCTGTGCACACGTTACCGTTGTGAACTTAAAGGGGAATGTCTATAAACTCTGCTGATATTTTGGGAACTTGTTAGCACAAGTTGGATAAGGATATAATTAGTCAATATATCCTCTCCTGCACCCCAGAACATTCCCACACCTCTGAATCTAGGAGACAGCATTGATGACTAGCAGGCAGCGAGAGTTTTATCATCTAGGAATATGTCTAATCCACATCACCACATCTTGCGTTGGAAGTTAATTCCATGTTTTAACTATGCATTGTGTGAATATGTGTTGCCTCTTGTATATCCCAAATCCAGAGCGCCACCACTGAGAAGGCCCCGCTCCATATACCTGCCAACTATCCTCAGACAAGCAGGCAAATTAGATGGGAGCAAGCATTTCTCCAGATATCCTGGACCCAAACCGCAAAGATAGATGTCTCTGATCTAATGAGGCTCACTCACTCACTTTCTCTCTCTCTCTTTTTACAGGAACTCTTTAAACACTCTCACCAAGAAGCAACACACACACACACACACACACACAGTAATGCCATATCCCATGACAATGCAAATATCTGCAAGGGAAAATTCCATCTTGGGAATTTGCCAGGCTTTGGGGACGATGGGGAGGAATCAGTGTTACAGCAACAAGGAGAGAGTGCCATTTTTTACGGTGTGCCAGATACTAATCCAATATCATGAACGAAACAGCTTAAGCAAATTAAATAACTTCCCCTGCATCCCTTTTTAGAGGATGAGATTAAAGGAACATACAGAGCTTTGAAACAGGGCTGTTTACGATTTCCAAAAATTAACAAGTGCCCAAACAATATTCCTGTCTAGATCCAATGTTCCTGTGAAACTTGTTTCCCCTCTTTCTGACACTAAGAGCTGTTCAACAGTGAAACGGGCTTCCTTGGAGGTTTTTAAGCAGAGGTTGGATGGTCATCTGTCATGGATGCTTTAGTTGAGATTCCTGCATTGCGGGGGGCTAGACTAGACGATTCTACGATTCTATGACCAACCACAACTCTCTGAGAAGTTCACAAAGCAAGACTTGAATGCGGCAGGCCTCCACCACCTTTTCTTGCCAACAACTGATATTCAGAGATACATTGTCTCTGAACATGGAGGTTCCCCCATTTCTCGCAACCATTTATTAAAGGAAAGTTTGTGATGTTAACATATGAGAGTGCTGGAGGCGAAATAGTTACACAAGTAACCCAATCAGAAGCCAGGGGGGTGGAGTCAGAGGGACTATAAAACCAGCTCTGGGAGGGGCGAAGGGGGGAGTTCGTTGGGAGTTGGGTGGTTGGTTGGAGTGGGAGTGAATTGGGATAGAGTCTGTGGGTAGGTTGTGTAGCGAAATAAGCTGAGTCAGGAACAGTTAGGAACTAGGAAGACAAGAAAATATCTGAGAGGTGGTTTAAGGGAGTGAGAGCAGGTAGCGGAAGTTATAGGTCTGGATAAGCACCCCATGATTGTAATTGACCAATACCGTTTATGAAACCACACACTTGTTAAACTGCAATAAATAAACAGAAGTTTATGTTCCAATTTAACCCTGACTCGGTATTGTACCAGGTAGGGCCTGGGTGGTGGCAGCGAGAAATAAAGTGGTGGCACAGGGATCAATAGACGGTGAAACATCCAGGGACCCTGTGTGCTTACCACAAGTATCATCTCTTTTTTACAGGTGTGGTCCTTCAGATGTTGGAACATAGGAAGACGCCTTGTACTCAGTATGTTCATTGGTCCACTTGCTCAGCAATGTCAACACTGACTGCTAGTGGCTCTCTGAAATTTCAAGACAATCTCTCCCAGTTGATGCCGGGGACTGAACCTGGGACGTTCTGCATGGAAAGCAGTTTGCACTTCCACTGAGCAATGGCCTTCCTCTTGCCCTCCTCATCCCTAACCATTGGGCATGCTGGCTGGGGCTCATGGGAGGTGGGGTTCAACAACATCTGGAAGGCCACAGGTTGCCTACCCCCAGCCCTGTTAAATAACATTGTACACATCCCCCTTGTCCTCTGTTCTACAAAGAAACAATTATGCTGTTTCCGTATTGGAACAGATTTTGAATGTCAGGCTCTTGTAGCCAAATAGAAATGTCAGGACCTCAACACGTCTCCCGTGTGTAGCGGCTAATTTAATCAGCATTCCAAGATGTGATTTCGATTCAATCATTTTGCTGGAGTGGCTGGGCTTATGAGGAGTGTGTCCAGCAAAAAGGAGATCAGTTAGATATTATTAAGCGCCGCATGTTTCTTACCGGAGAGAAAAAGGGGAGAGAGACGGGGGATGGGGAAAGAACATCTTGGATGGGATCTGCACGGTTACGAAAGCTCACCCTGGGCTTGCTGAACGGGGAAGCTTAATTCTGGACTAAGTTGTTTCCATCAAACTTGGGGGAAAAGGGGGGAAGGACGCATTTTGTAATGGGAAAGTGGGAAGCAAGGGAGAGGTTCTTAACTTTCTCCTCCATCCGCCATGTGCCTCTGTATTATTTCCCCAGTCATTTGCCCCCCAACTGCACCAGTGAGGTATGAACATTAGAAGAGCTCTGCTGGATCAGGCCAATGGACCATTTAGACCAGCCTCATGCTCTCACAGTGGCCAAACAGGTGCCTGTGGGAAGCCCACAAGCATTGTTGTTGTTGTTTAGTCATTTAGTCATGTCCGACTCTTTGTGACCCCATGGAGCAGAGCACGCCAGGCACTCCTGTCTTCCACTGCCTCCCGCAGTTTGGTCAAACTCATGCTGGTAGCTTCAAGAACACTGTCCAACCATCTCGTCCTCTGTCGTCCCCTTCTCCTTGTGCCCTCCATCTTTCCCAACATCAGGGTCTTTTCCAGGGAGTCTTCTCTTCTCATGAGGTGGCCAAAGTATTGGAGCCTCAGCTTCAGGATCTTTCCTTCCAGTGAGCACTCAGGGCTGATTTCCTTCAGAATGGATATGGAATGAATGGAAATAAGAGAAACTCCAGAGATTCGAGGGATTAAAGTAGGAACGAAAGAATATAAATTAAAAGCTTAAGCAGACGATTTGATGCTATCCCTAGAAGAACCGATAAAAAGTCTCAGCAAGGCGCTTGAAATATTAGAAGAATACGGTAAGCTATCCGGCTTTAAATTGAACAAATCAAAAACAAAAACGATGACTAAGAATCTGGGAAAGGAAGAAAGAGAAAAATTGGAGGCTCAGAATGGAATCAAGGTGGCTAAAAAAATAAATACCTGAGGACTTCCGGTTTGGATCGCCAGCAGTATGGGAGCGCGGAGAAGTTGCTGAGCGCCTTCTCCGAACTGTGCGGGGTTTTTGTGGGGCAACGCAAGGGCACTGCGACCCCAAAACCTTCAGGGGGGCCCCCTGAAGGGCAGCGCTACCAGCAGCGCCAGAAAGGTCCGAAGCTTTCTGAAGTTTTTCCTATCTTTGGGGAGGACTCCGGAGCAGCGGGACCCAGTGGCGCATTCCGGTAAGCTCTGCGACCCCGGGCAGTAATGCCTCGAGCTCCCACTGATAAGAGGCGACAAATCTCCGAAATCTTTTAAAACTGCTGCCTTTGGTGTTGAAAATTAAACGTCGAGCTGTAAAAGCAGGAGGGTAGACTCTAAGGCGCAAAGACACTAACTGTTTAAATTAAGGAGCCCGATTTGTTTCGGAGCCAAGATGGCGCTGGGAAGTTAATTGGAAGAGTGAAACAAAGTAACCAACGCCTGCTGTAGAACAAAGAAAGAGAAGCCCCCGTTGGGAAACTCCGCGGGGCAAAGTAACCAGTTAAAAAAGTAGGAAATTGAAATGAAACAATAGAGACTTTGTATCGCTAATGGGCAACTGGAGAGTCTAACAAAAAAAAAAAGAAAAAGGCTAAAGAGAGAACCGGGAGGAAAACGGAGGGACGCCGGACGCGGAGAAAGCGAACTACGACTCTTCGCATATATCCTCCCTCGCATACTTCTAGTACTCCAGCTCCCCAGCTGGTTGCCGTATTGTCTTAAAACTGAAGGAAACACAGCGTGCGAGACCGTGTGTATGGGGGAGATGAGACTGCTCACTTTGGTTGGCTGACACCCGCCCAGACTTGCTAGAAGCCGGCTTCTCTGAGGGATTCTGAGGGACTCTGACAGACTCAAAGACTCTGAAGGTTTTTTCTATCATTTTCTCTCACCTCTGGACTGATTTCGCATCGAGGAACAGGTCACCCCCCGGACTTTCGGCCCCTTTCTTTGTTTTTTCTCCTTTTTGGAACTGATACTGAATTCCTTTTTCCCTGATTCAGGGCCCCCCTCTCCGCTGGGGGAACTTACATCAAGCTCTGGATTGTCTTGGACTCTTGCCTCCACGTTTATATATCTGTACCCCCCCTGCCCGTTTGCCCTCTCCCCCTTACCAATTTCTACCTCCCGATTTTTGGTTGCTCTTAAGGGAATACTAATAGGACATACCTCACAATATGTGGGAATAGACTAAGCTACAAGAGGCAGAGACTCAAAAGAGAAATTTTAGTATCACTGGCACCATTTAGACTGTGCCACCTGTGTTAGTCCATTTATTGTCCCCTTTCCGTGATCTTTTCCCCTTTCTGACCTTGCAAGACCCTTCAACTCCCTCGTCATTTTTTGTAATTTTGGTTGTATATGATTATCATGCATTATCTCTGGTAATTGGAACTTGCCTTTTACAAGAGACAATCGTAAGGATTTGTAAACTAGGAGGGAAAACTCCCAGTATTGGGAACGGGCTGATTTAAAGGGAAGTTACAAGACAAGTTAGAATCGAGGGGCAGATTAAAACCCTTTCGGTGATAGCCAATATCCAAGATTGTAAGCCCCTTGGGGAAAGCCATAAAAACTTGTGGATAGACTTGAGGCGGGAGGGGTGGGAAGGGGGAGGCGGGCAGATGGCGGGGAAAGACGGGAAGAAGCCTGCAGGGACACCAATGGATAGGAGAACCTCAAGGCAAGAGGAAATAAAAGACCTAGATGCATTATGGTTGAAAATAAAAGAGGAACTTAGACAAAACGAAACACGTATAGAAAAAAAATTAGGAGAGATGCAAGAATCTTTTGACAAAAAAATTGAGGTGGTTGCAGGGGAACTTTCAAACAAGATAAAAGAACTATCTGTCAAAACGAAAACCTTAGAAGAATTAAATAAAAAAGTGCAAAAAGATTTGAGAGACCAGAGAAAGGAAGTTGAAAAAACTAAAGAAAACTTTGAAGAACTGAGTAAAACCCAAGATCAGGTCTTAGATAATTTAGCCTTGATGGAGATGAAACAAAAGCAATTAAATTTAAAATTTAGAGGAATAGGAGAGGAGAGAGAAGAAGATATAAGGGAGAAAATGATCAAAGAGCTTGCGACCTGGCTCTCATTGGAAGAAGAAGAAGTTGCACAAACAATAGAAAATGCCTTTAGAGTAAAAATAAGACCCAAACAGAACAGACTGAAAAAGGTACCAGGAGATTGTTTAGTGATTTTTAAATCGAGTGACATGAGAAATAAGATCCTGAGAGAAAGCTACCAGAGGAAACTGGTAATAGACGGGAAATCTATTATCATTTTCAAAGAAATACCAATTAGACTCCTTCGAAAAAGAGAGGGCTACAAACAATTAGTGGGCATCTTAAAGAAAAATAATATACAACACAGATGGGAATTCCCAGAAGGGATTTCCTTTTTTTACAAAGGGAAGAGATTTAAGATAACCGAAAACCAAGAAGTAAGTAAATTCCTACGTAGATACGAAAAGGACCTCGGGGGATTAGAGGAAAGAGATGGAGAGAAGGATGGGGAGAGAGAAGGAAGAGGAGGGGGGAGGCTGAGGGAAAGATTGGAGGGGGAGGGAGGAGTAGGGGGAGGGGGAGAGGAGGGCGAGGGAGAGGAAGGGGAAGAGGGGGAGGAGGAAGAGGTCGAGGAACAAATAGAAGACAAAACCACTCGAATTTAATTCGGAAAAACCTAAAGTAGGAGGGTACTGACTTACTTATCAGTAGATAAAAACGACAATGAACCTTAAAATTGCAACGTGGAATGTTAACGGATTGAACGAAAAAGCCAAAAGGAATAAAATCGCAAATGTTTTGAAAAAAGAAAAATTGGATGTAATTGGTATTCAAGAAACTCACGTAGCCAAAAAGCACAAACATGTCTTAACAAACAAATACCTGGGTATGGAATTTATAAACTCTACGGAAGAGAAAAAAAAAGGAGTAGCAATATATGTCAAGGAAAAATGGGAACCAAAAATGATATATAAGGATGATGAGGGGAGGGTACTAGGGGTGCAAATTAACTTTCAGGGAGAAAAGATTAATGTAGTTAACATCTATGCCCCAAATACAAACAGACCGGAGTTCTTTCAGAAATTAGAACAAGTCCTACTAGACCTAGATGATAATAAGACAATATTATTAGGAGATTTTAATGCCGTGCCATTACCAGATATTGATAGACAAACGGAAAATAAAAAACGAAATCAAGGAAAGTTACCGAAATCATTTCAAAATCTGGAAGAAAACCTAGACTTGATAGATATATGGAGACATAAACATCCAACAGAAAGACAATTTACTTTTTTTTCCGAAGTACACAAAAGCTGGGGCAGAATAGACCAAATCTGGACCTCGAGAACACTCACCCTAAGAGCAATAAGATGTGAAATATACCCAAGGACGCTCTCAGATCATAGCCTAATAACATTGGAAATTAAGGGAGCATCACAGGGAGGCTTCAGATGGAGACTAAATGAATATCTATTAGAGAATGACGATGTTGTTGAAAAGGCCAAAATCACCTTAAAGGAGTACTTTGAGTTGAATACGAATATAGGAACAAACATAGAAGTAATTTGGGACGCCAGCAAGGCGGTAATAAGAGGGTTATTTATCCAGCAAAATACTCTTAAGAGGAAGATAAGAAAGCAGAAGTTGGAAGAAATACTTAAGCAGTTAAGAGGGTACGAGAAAAAACTAGTAGACCATCCGAAAGATGAACAAAGTAGCCGAGCAATAAAATTACTACAAACACAATATTCGATGCTGACGAGCCAAGAAATAGAATGGAAAATCAAATTAATGAAACAAAGATATTTTGAGTCAGCAAACAAAACAGGGAAATTTTTAGCTTGGCAGTTGAGGAAAAGGCAGAAACAGAATACGATAAACAAAATAAAGGTAGAGGAAGAACTGATAGTTGACCCAACAAGAATACAAAAAAAGTTTCTCGAGTTTTACGAGGAACTATATAAGAGGGGAGAAGAGGACACAACACAAATAGAAAGATATTTAAAGAGACATAAAGGGAAGATAATTACAGAGGAAGAAAGACTACAACTAAACAAGCCTATTAGCATAGAAGAGGTCCAAAATGCTATAAAAAAAATGAAAATAGGGAAAGCTCCTGGCCCAGACGGCCTTTCGGCTAAATATTATAAAGTTCTAGGAAACCAACTATTCCCGGCGCTCTGCGACACTATGAACAATATCTTAAAAGGAGGGAAAATCCCTGAGTCATGGAGGGAAGCCTACATAACATTAATTCTAAAACCAGATACGGATAAAATGAGTATTAAGAACTACAGGCCGATATCTTTATTGAATAACGATTATAAAATCTTCGCC